AACAGTACGTCGTACTTAAAGCTGAAAAGGTAACAATCGTAGAAAAACATACCATAAAGCAGAAACACGAATAGTCTGGAGTTACAATTTTAAACCTTCCGTATCTTTCTTTAAAAAAAAAAAAACTCGAAACTTATTTTTATTTTCACGAACACTTTATTATTAATTAATTATTAAAAATGTTAAAATTAAGTTTATACTTTGTTATTTTTTAATTGAAGAACAATTTACCGAGTGAAAGGTTTAAAAATAGGCATTTATAATTAAACCGAGGGATAGTGATACGCCATAGCTTCCTGGAAAAGCGTCGCGATCGCTGCAAAATACGCCATGTCAACGGAAAATATTATTTATTCCATTACTATTGGTACTCTGGCGGACTATAAATTTTGCCTTTAAATATAAACATGCACAAGACACTTTTTTATATTATATTTACATTTACTAAATCTCATTAATGTCATTAGCTAAATAATGCAGAGTTATCGAAACTTTATAGAATTGCAAAGGAATATGGAAAGATTTTATGCTCCTAGCGACAATAAAATCTATTCGAAGAACAGAAGTCTTTACAATTTCATCCTAAATCATAAATCCTGAGATGGATCCTGAAAATCCGCTTGCTATTCTGAATTATGAATGTAATTGAAGTAAGTTATGTGAGACTTTTGCAAATTTTACATTTCTTCCTAAATATTGTAAATTAACACATTTTAAATTTAAAGTAATTATTCTGTTGTAATTAACGGTAATCGGAAAAAGATCGCCCCGGAAAAAGTCGTGGAGAAGTCCCAGAAATATGCAGCCGGGAAAAAAGCCCCCAGAAAGAATTCCCCGGAAAAGAATTTCCCCTCGGGAAAAACTTTGATTTATTATAAGGTAAATAGTAAATTTTATTAGAAATGTGAGGTGGTTCTGTTATCAGACAGTTTTTGTATCTATTTGTTGTCAGAATACTGTAGCGAGCACGAGTGTGTTTCGGGCACACGTATGCGTGAACGGCTTATCGATTCGCCGACAAGCCCCGAGGGCCTTTTCCTCATGTGCGCCATATTTGTATGTGTGTATCGTACCTGCGTTCTGGGAAAACAGTTAAACAGTTCAAAGAAAAAAATAAACTATCCGGATGTTTCCAGAAGGTTCCAGAAAGTAAAAAAAAGAGTATTTAAAGGAAGAAACGATCGCCAAAAGGAGGAGAAATAAATTGACAGTGATAGCAGTGAAATAAATAGCGCAGTGAACAGTGATACATCAACAGTAGAATAATTTTTTTTCGAGGGATTTTTTCGGGGGATTTTTTTTCTGGGGGGTTTTTTCTCAGAGGCTTTTTTCCCGATGGATTTTCTTCCAATTACCGCCAAGACTAATATA